CCTTCCACCCAGTACCCCTGACAGGGGTCTTCTGTAGTGATCCTATCAGTTTCTGCTTTGTCCCTCCTCTGTCTTAGCAACCAAAGCCACATTGCTCTTCAATACTATTTCCACCCCAAAGCAGGATGTTGTATTGGAGCTGTTTGGTCTACTGCCTCTCCCACCATCATTGCTGGGGACAACAGAAGGGACAGAGGTCTTCCATTGAGTATGCACTTGTCTCATGAAAGCCTTCAATGCCATCTGAGACAGGAATGGGTCATCCACATCCTCTCCTGGAGTGGGAGATCATGTAGTAGTTAATGACCTCATGGACAGCTACCAGTGGGTTTTACTCTTTGGGAAGTCCCTGGTGATTGGGAATATACCTCTCATGTTCCTGGCTACCCAAACTAAGAGTGGCATTGGCTTCCCTCTGTCCTAGTCCTGTTGGTTGTCCTGCTTAATGTGGGCAAAAATGCATTGCAGTGGTCAGCTTCCCCGGACTCTACCATTGGTGCAAGATGTATGGAATGCCCCTCCCTCAAATGGATGCAACATCCAAGCTGCTTGGGACTCTGGGGCTTTTGTCCATATTTATTCATCTCTGCATCATTCCCTGTTCATGGAATTGCTTAAGCATATCCAGTGCAAGATGGCAAAGGAAGGTTGTACATAAAGGATGAAGACTTAGTTCCCTTGATGACTTAAAGGCTACAGATTCAAACAAAGCTTTACTGGTTCCCTGAGTGATTCATCTGGTGGTGGCAGAAGGCTTCATTTAGAGAAACAGTTGTTGAGCTGGAGATCATGGGCATCATTCAGTGGGTCCATGAACTTGAGGAAGGAGCCCTGGTGGCACAGTGGTTAAGCACTTGGCTGCTAACTGAAAGGTCAGTGGTTTGAACCCATGAGCTGATCTGTGGGAGATAGATGTGGCTGGCTGCTTCTGTAAAGATTACAGGCTTGAAAACCATTATGAGGCAGTTCTACTCTGTGAGGTCATTATGAGTCGAAATTGTCGGCACATGACAACAACAATGTGAGAACTTGAGTGGGAAAAAAATTTACACTAGTCTAGTCTAACTGGAAATTAGCATTTCCTTCAATTGTGAATGAAGGCAATGAACCACAGTAGTATTCCTAGTACCTGTGACTTTGTCATCCATATAAATCATAGATCTTTTTATGCCATGTTATAGTTGGTGCTGATTTTCTTAAATATTGATTATGCTGATTCCTATTTTGAAATTACAGTAGTTAATTCATTCTTGGTATTTAATGTATTAATAAGGAAATATATGC